AGGCCCTGCCAGGGGCTCTCAGCTCTCCCTGGAGCCTTCTCTTCTCCAGGGGAACCCCCCCAGCTCTCCCAGCCTGGCTCCATCCCTGAGTTAATCCCAACCCTGGAGAACCTCCCCTATTTGAAGGTGAGGTCTGAAGTGATTAGAGGGGGATCCAGGAAATCCTAATGCCACGTTCCATTTTCCAGTCAGCTGGGCCTCAGGGAGTTCCCAGTGGAGAAGAGGTGGAAGGGAATCTATGACCAGTTCCTGGAATTCCTCCAGTCTGGCTGCAAGGAAGAAATGGAGGAGTCTTTCACAGGGTTCCACATCCAAACCAGCAAGGAGCTGAGGAAATCTCAGGAATATCTCTTCTGCCAAAGGTAGGAATATTCCAGGGCCTCGTTACCACAGAGGAATCCATTTAAATCAGGGTCTGATTGAAATCATGTTTTAAAGTCATGAACTTGAGCATTTTCCAGTTGTTCCTTCTCATGAAGCAGGAGGAGGGATTTTACCCCTCAATTTAAAGTTGTGCTGTTGAGGTTGAGTCTTACAAGTGAAAAATTCATTGCCCCTTTTGGAATCTACCTGTGATACCCACCTGGATTTATCCCAGAGCTTCCTTGTGGGAAGCTCACCTCTTTTCTCCTCCCTCACCTCTCATCCTTTCAGGGGGACTGAGGACATATCCTGGAAAATTGAAGATATCCTTGAAGAGCTTGTCCAGCACCAGGATCTGGAGTCAATACAAAGTTATTTAGAGAAGGTAAAAAGCTTAAAATAATCCAGGTTTGGCCACCAGACACGGACACAGGGCCGGGCAAATTGCTGTTAATTTGACAGCACATAAAACGTGGCCAGAGGCTTCAAGAACTTCCCTAAATTATGTCAAGAACAGGCTTGTCCCTCGTGCTCTTTGGCCACTCATTTTGTGCAGAGCTGTGGAGAAATCTTCCCTCTTGGTTCTCCAGCTGCTGGAAATGATGTCACCTCTGGGCTTGTCCTCCTTTGCTGCCAGGAGGAGGCTGGGGGGCCTTTTGGGGTGTTTTCCTCCACTGCTGGCAACGCTGACGTGTGGAATTGAATTTTCCTGCCTCCTGCAGGCATTGAAGTCCTCCCTGCACCCTCTGGGCAAGCTGCTGAAGGCCCTGACAGTGGCTTTCCAGGCAACATATTCCGGGATTGGGGCCAACAGGCACCTGCTGACCATGGCACAGGAGGAGGTCAAGTACTATGCCAAGAAAATTTGGGAATTCTACCGGTGAGTCGAGCGGGTTGAGTCCTTCCAATGGGGAGGAGAACGTTGGGATGGTGTTTACAGGGGATGTGCTTTAATCACAACATGTTTTTTTGGGGGGAGGTGCTTCAGAATGGTGTTAAATTAAGAGTTATTTGCAATAACTGAGGTCATATGGACCTGGAAAACCTTTATTATGGCTATTATGTGGTTATTATATGACCCAGGGGCTTATTGGGAATCTCAGCTGGGCTGTGGCAGATCAAGGAGCTGCTGCCCATAATAACACTTTATTTAGACAAATAGGAAGCAAAAAAACCTCCCTAAGAACTGAGGGCAGCAAAGTGTGTCAGGGCACACAGCAGGGGTGTGATATCCGTGTTTGAAGGAGAAATAGAATCCCAGAATGGTTTGGGTTGGAAGGGA